AAGTAAAAAACACGACTCTTATATCAGCCCGGACATGAAAAGAAAGCTTCAAGCACGTCGGTAACTAAAGATTACCTTGTATGTTTTGTCTCCAAAAAAGTGAATTTCATTAAATTCTTCAAGGTATCTCAAACAGTAAGTCTTGTCCCAGCCTTGGGGGAAAACCTGTCATGACCAAGATTCCCAAATCATCTGTCAATAATATACCTAAAACGTTCAGCGGTCAATGTGCACAAGAAAAGGCTTAAAGATGCTCACATCGAAACTAATTTGGCCTCCAATGGAGAAGGTGAGATTAAAATGTGCAAACTTTTCTCTGAGCACCGATACCATTGTTTCGCGTATCTTCTGTACCTGATTATAGTTCAAATTGTCTTTAAATCACACAGAAAAAGAATCTTCTGGAGGTACATACTGCAAAACATATATGCAATGCTAGAGCAGTTATCTATACCTTGTCATACTTTTCAAATTCATCCCTTTCTTCCTGACTACAGTTCCTCCCAATAGGCGACACATTTAGCATGCCACTTCTGAACTCAATGAATGTTCCTCTGCAAAGAAGAATGTTTAAGAAGTTTGCCACAACGAAGCAGATAATTCAACCTTTGATCTATGTTTGCTTGGATCCTTCAAAAATGTTGTCAGGTGTGTCAGGTCCTCCAAAAAATAATTTTTGGAGGATCTGGCAGACTGGCATGGGTGCACGGCATTTTTGGAGGATCCGAGCAACACAGACTTTGATATTGCTCACCTCTTTATTGGAATATCCAAGTCAGCAATGTAATGGAGGGTAAAGTTAATAAATTCCTGCATATCATTTGCATCCCATCAAGATATTTCTTGGCCATCTACATATAAACTCATTTCTACTTCAATTGGGTGAACCTAAGCTATAAACATGAATTCTCACCCAATTATACGCAACAAACATACACAATTAACTCTTCATGGAAATGTGTAATAACTTGGTTTTCAGATTTTTGTTAACTATTATAAACATTGCTTCGAAAACTTACGAAATACCATGTCAGAGCAGTTTCAACAAAGTACAAATTACATAGTAATCTCTCTTTTTTGCTCTTAGGCAAATTATTCTTCATCTTATAGATAAAGGTATACACGCAGAGACTAATTTATACTTCAACAAAATTATTTTTCGTAAGCTAAACAACAAATAATTAGAAGGATCACTAAGCCTTTATCGAACTGCACTTGGTTGGGTATGCTCCCCTCTTTGCACTATACCAAAAAATAAAACATTTTCTCGTTAACTAAGAAAAACGCATTGACTAACCTTGAGCTTCTCGTCTCCAAGATATGACTTCAAGCTCTGCACGCACACCGGGAGTCATGTCATTTCAAAACAAATCACCCTGCTAATTAACAACTAAGGAGAACGAAAGAAGCGATGCACATTGAAGATGGGAAGAAAGAAAATTTCTTCAAGTTGTTCGGTAGTTCCATATTTCATGAGACTATTATCTAGTTTTAACTTGGTACAAAGTGCTTAAGTAGTGGCAACAAGGATGTTGTTTTGAGTTGATAAAGACAGTATCCAAGATTTTGTTTTGCCACAGAATGAATATGCACTCACAAGTAATAGTATAGAGATACGATATCAAATTCTAGTCATTAAAATTACCTGTTTCCCAATAAGCTTGCCATCCTTGTGTGCTACAAGGCCATTTTCAGAGAAAACATAATCATAGTCATTTGTAACTGCATCACAAATATTAGAAAGATCAAAATGTCATCATGCTCAAGAAATTCTTTTAGATAGATCAGTTAATAGCAACATATTAAGAACCAAGGGACATGAATGACCTCAAAGATTGTTTAGCACTAAAGTTGGGCAGAAAAAGGTACATTTCAACAGCTAACATGGAGCTATAACCATAAGACTATGTATGCCTTTATAGTGGAAAGGTCCTTCCATTTTTGAAACCAAAACGCAGTTCTGTGCTCTTGGCTAGTGAACCCATAGTTCTACACTTCTACTTTGCCTAATACTGCGAGGAATTTTAGATACTGAGCTAGAAACATGAGCTCTAATAAGTTGTTGTAGCACTTTTATCATCCCAACTCCAAGTTTCTTATATATGCTAGTTAAGCTAACCTGTATTGCCAAGCTGTTCTGATATCTTTACAAGGTCAGAACCTCCAACAACTCCAATAGTAACAACCTACAGGTCAACAAAATTATTAAGCCAAAGAATCCTTGAGAGGAAAAATAATATATATGTGGAAAAGAGAAAGAAGGAAAAAGGAGCATGGCAAAAGAATCATCTACCTTTCTAAGTTCCTGCATGAATTTCAACATTTGTGGAGTAGATTCCTGAAATTTTTATGCAAATTTTCCAAAGAAGAAAATCAATACCATTATGGGGGTGATTAAATGTCACTACTGGTAAATTTACTGTAAAATTAAACGAAGAAATAAGAATAAGAACAACAAAAAATCATGACAATATTTTGAAAATAAATGTACAGGCTAGCAAGAATACACTGAATCATTCGACGGCGCCTCAATCTCAAACAAGTTGGATTCAACTACTAAATATACAAATCATCTATACCATTCTGCTCTATTCAAGCCCATCAAGGATGCAGTTGTCCATAAAGTCAAATTAATCTACAGTAAGGGTGTTTTCAGTATGGATCTGATTTTCTCACGTTCCTTAGGTAAAAAATTTTGAAAAATATTTTCTTTAGAAACACAAGTTACTTAAAAATGAGGAAAATGAATTGTCTAATGGACGTAGGGAAAACAAGTTCTAGAATTAGCATTGCGCATTGATTTTGTCCTCCAACACACCTTATCATCATCCCACCTCTATACCCCTATCCCACCACACCACACCACCCCCATCCTCCTGTTGCTTCGATTATATACAAATACTTTTAGAATAATATTTTTTTACTTGCATACCGAACACACCCTTAGTAACAGAAACAAAGGGAACAATCAAACTAAAGCAGCAAATACAAGCAGGAGCAATCATGCTATACCTTCCTGGGTGCTGTAAGAGTTCCATCAACATCAAACAGAGCAATTAAACCAGCTTTCCTTGCAGCCATTTTTATCTTTCTATACTTGTCACCAACTCTTCACTGCATTCAATGGCCAAACATTCACCCTTATCAGCTACACCAAAATAAAATCCAATACAAAAGTTCACAAAGATAATATGAAACAAATCAAATTATAGAATCGCAATATATAGTTGTACTAATTAGTACAACACAATGGGCGGTGGCACTTTGCGTACTCACTAGAAAGAAGTACTCAACAAGACGACAAAATGAAGCAAAATCAGTTACAGAAAATGCAAAATTTACACCGATTGAAGAAGAAGAAGAGACGTGCAAGTGCGCAATTTTCCACCGCTTGCATTCATTGGCTTACCTCAGCAAAAATTGGCTGGGAGAATCGGACGCAGATCTGAGATTGAATGTGGATATTGGGATTTGAGGGGTGGTTGTGTTCTTTTCACTCAGGCTGCCCACTTGAGTTTTTAGATCTATGTCCCAATATGTGGTTGGTTGTGCCACGTATTCTTTTGTTTATATATAGCTCCGTATTGTATTTAGGTTGAATCCTTTTTTGGTTACGTAATGATAAACCTACAAGAAAATAAGATATATATGAAGTAAAGTATTAATTAGAGATAATTAGGGGAATCATATTCCATTTCTTTTAAAGGATGAAAATATAATATGTGAGAATCATTTCTATTTATAGGGGAAACAATTATATTAATTTTAAAAATAAACTAATACTAATTGTTCTTCAAAAATAAAATAATAATAGATGATTTTTGATGAGTAGTTCTCGAAAACTTAAGGAGAAAAGGAAAAGGAAGAGAATAATATATTTTAAAAGAAAACAATGATGGGATGGGAAAAGGAAAAAAAGTAGAGACATTGAAATAAAATAAAATCTAGCTGAAAGAAAAAAATGTTAAGTACTTCCTTTGGTCTAATATAAATGAATTATTGCAATTGTAGACTATTTTTTAGTCTAATAAATGAATTACTGAGATGGTGGAAAAATATTAAACGATATTAATTAGTAAAAGAAGATAATTTGTTAATATTATCCTTTTGAATGTTTATGACTTTTTTTTAAAGAAAAAAATTAGAGTTTTAAAAATCTTGTTAAGAAAGAAGATTAGTTCTAATTTTTTTCCCATACATTCTTGATATTTAAATTAGAGATAATTATGATTTAAAAATCTCTTCTAAAAAAGAATAATTAATACATTCTTGGTCAATTTTAACCTTGAGCTTATGCGCATATTTTTTTCTTATGATGCTTCAAGGAGAAATGAAGTGGCCAAACAAATTTTGTTTTATTATTTCACTCATGTTGCAGGTCGGATATGTATTTAAATTCAGTTAGTCAAGTAAAGAATTTTAAAACTATTAAAAGCTCGAGAATGAAACTAATAATTCGCACCAAATTTAAAGTCGTGTTTTCAATACTTCTTTCTACTTCTATGCAGAAATAATACCACTCCACTTTTAGGACCCTTATTTAGACTTGGCTAATTTTTAAGAATTATTTTACATATCTATCACCCATCCACTCAGGTTAGAGCGCGGAATAATATAGCTCAACGGGGATACTTAATTACACCATGCAAGCCAAGACTAGCTAGGCAAACAACGAGGGGCGTAAGAGGTTTATCTGAACTATAAGAACCATATCCAATTCAGAATGCAGAGGCAAGCCAAACAGAACTGTCAAATGGCGAAGAAACGAGAGTACTTCAACTTCTGTTAGGTTCACTTCTCAGCATCAAATAAGACCTATAGGTTATAGCCCATTCATAGCACACAAACTTAACTTTGTCAGCTTTCATTTTCAGTTCTTTTTTTCGCGTATCATAATCTTACATCGTTACCTGCAAACCCCCATCAGTCCATCACCCAGCTACGACTGGTCAACCCCGCCTCAGGGGAGAATACCATAGTAAACAATGCTCTATGAGTCAAGACAGAAGCCCAGAACACGAGATTCAAATTAAAAAGGATTTAAATGTAGAATGACTTGTGTATACTAATAAACTACAACAAAAGACTCATATACTGTATAATTAAGCCGCGTCTCCACTTCCTTTTCCATTTTTCTTTCTGTTAACTTTTTCCGTGACAAGTATTTCCTTAGTGTAGATATTTTGCATGGTATCATGTACCCATCCAGCTAGTTGTCTCTGAGACAAACTATACCAATGGAGTCTCGGTGATTGGTGGAGAAATCTGAAGCCCCAGTCTTGATGTCCATCCTTTCCGCTGCCTATAGGCCTCAACTGCTTGCAATCGAAGTCTTTCTTTTGAAGCATCATGTGCATTATTCTTGAATGCCTTCATAATGAGAACACAAGTACGTTTTACCATATGAATATCAGTGTATATAAGGTCAATGTCATAAGCATAGGCAAAGTTCATGTCAATGCGAGTGTGTATAAATACAGTATACAACTATCCAGATGTACCTTTGGAACTGCAAGCTTAGGTGGAGCTTCAACGACTTCACCAAATTTTATTTCTTCACGGCCAGGAAATTCCATGTGTTCATCAGTATTGGCCTTTTTGTGTTTCTTCTTCATTTCTGCCAAACGCCTGCATACATCCAAATTAAAACCATTCGGTAATAACCTGTAGACAATGCAATGCCTGAAACCAGTCCCCCACCCCTCAGAACCAAAAAACACTAAAAAAAAAAAAAAAGAGAAATGAAACATGTCACAAAATGAGTATCGTATGTGAAATCCTTATTACATTTGCTTCAATAAAGAAAGGTTAATTTGGGTAAATCCTTTTTCATTTACTTACAACAGAAGTTGCTTGATTACCCAGATTGCTTATAAAATATGATATTGAAAGGAATACAGTGCGCACATACACATAAACGGTAGAACAATGATCAACTACTTGTTACGTAAAGGAGTAGAAAGTTAACCGGAAAAAAATACCTCAGCTGCTTCTTAGTAATAGGAGAAACAAGCAAATAATATATTAAACTAGAGAAAACAGGTAATGGTGTTCAAAGGTTAGTCGCTAAATTAACACTGAATTTGATTTGAGTCAAAGTTGTCATAGAATAACCCCCAGCCTCAGCAAATCAACCCCCTTACTACCCAATGATCTTAGTCATTCTTTGATAGCATACATTATTAGTTAACGGCTTCTGGTCCAGGAACACTCCTAAGAACTTAAAGCTCCATAACCGTGATGTAGCGGATTTGACTCCCTTGAATAGCCGGTATTAAAATGCATAACCCTTTTCCCTCATGAAATAGAGTTGGTTTAGTTGTTCTCTAAACAAGATATGTGGCATAAGCATTTAAGATTGACATAAAACAATGGCTCTGCCTCTACTTCAACTCTCACCTCTGATATTATAGAAAAGTTCTTTCCAAGTAAATGTTACTACTATCTCTAAGCCAGGAAAGTAAAAGACGGATTTGTTGCTGAGGCATCAGTTCTTACTGTTTCTTTCGCTCCTTTCTCTTTGAACTAGTAATGCCCAGTTCAGCTGTATCAAACCGAAGGTCCTTTACTTCCTTTCTTTTTCTCTTTTTATTTCTCTTCTGATGTGCATTACTTTCTTCTGCTCCAACACCACTCAAACTGCTTTTGTCATCTTTCCGTTTGTTACCCGTAGTTTTAGCTTGAACTTGATCTTCTGAATGTATTCTCTGTTCAGGGACACATATAAGTCCAAAGTTTGAATACCTAATTTAATACACAGAATGCATTCACATAGAAAGGAGAAAACACAAAAAGCCATTGGAGGTCGTAGTAGAACAAACAGAAGGGAAGGAGAGAGAACTCGAGTTCCTTTGCTTAATGATTCACAACAATATGCAAGTTACTCTAGACAAGAGAGAGCGGAAGTATATGAATCTATAATGACAAAGAGTCAAAGACCATAATTGGAACAACAAATAGTGAAAAGATCACTGGCATTGAAAAATGTGCAACAATAGCATACAGAAGCATTGACATTTGTTTTGGTCAAAATGGAGACTAACAGAAAATTCTTGAGACACTTCAAGTAAACTTTTATTTATTTATTGACAAGTTCAAAGTTGAAATTGAATTTATTTTGATTAACTTAATTATTCCATATATGTAACAGGGAACCCCCTACCCCACCCCATCCCACCCCCCTAACAAGCCATATAGAAAAGTAGGAAGCTTACATAAATATGATTCTCAAGAGAGAGCATCCAATTAATTATTCCATAGATATATAGAGATTGTATTTTGTTCAGTAAAAAACTTAGAAAACACGATTATACTCTTTGGCACATGTAAAAGCTACATAAAACACTATTTTTCCTGCAGAAAGGGGCTGCAAAATCCGTCTACCATTCTATAGCTTATAGAAGAAGACAAGTGTTGAGAATATGAAAACTATGAGAGAGACAGAGTCTAACAAAGTTGCTAGGAAACCAAACTAGACTTAACTGGGCTTGATTGAATTTGGTGTTTTCAAGCTTGACTGCTTACTTGAGCTGATCATAGATTAATAGACCTATCACGGAACACTTCCGAGCTTATGAAGTGTGTTAATCACAATAAACTACACTTGCTCGAGGGATTGGGAATACATCATATATTCATCTGAAATGGCATGTTTTTCCTGGTATTTGTTAATATGCATTTACCAAAGCTATAACATGAGCACCCCCACCCCTTTAACATAGTAAGCTTAGATCTGGCTATAGCCAAACTTTTCTGTTCACCCCAACATTCCCCACTTGTCTGATTGTTGCTGAGCAAGAGCACTCAATCACTGAGCTATTATGCACTCTTTCAAGAGTTGCTTCTTCTAGGCAAACCTCCTAGCTGCAGTGGCGGAGCCATATGCATTCAAGGGGTGTCAATTGATACTCTTTCGTTGGAAAATTATACTGTGTAGTTAGGTAAAAAGTTCTTTTAAATATATACTATACATCGACGCCCTTTGGCTTCTTTACTACTTTATATTTTGACACTCCTTAGTAAAACTCTTGGCCCCACCACTATCTAGCTGTCTCTGCACCCCTGTCTCATTTATCACTGGATGGTCGATAAGAATCCTCATAATCATACTACTAGTATTGGACTATTACCTTTCTCTCCAAACAAAAGAATTAAAAAAAAAAGCTTCATATTCATAAATTGAACTATTACTTGTATAAATACCATTATAGCCTATCTCAGTAAAAGAGTGGAATTTATCTTTTATTAACTATAGGTTCCCAAACTCATGCAATTCCTGCACTGCCTACAACTAGTAGACTAAATAATTCCAAACTCAACACTAAAACCAAATTGTACAACCGTACCACAAAAACTATCACTAGAAAGATAAGTACTATGAGAACCAACAACATACCAAGTGACACCCCACAAAGTGGGGTCTGGAGAGGGTAGAGTGTACCTTACCTTATGGAGGTAGGGAGGCTGTTCCGTAAAGAACGCTCAAGTGAAGCAAATCAAAGTAGTAATGGAAAAGGAAAAACCGACAATGAAGAAAACATGACAACTAGTCGGAAGCACTGCAGAACATTCATTCATTAAAGGTACCATAACATTAACAACACAGTGCGATTACCTAAACATAGTAAACAACATATAGATAGCATATACCAAAAGCTACTAACTACATGAATAAGGCTAAAATAAGAACTACAAGGTCCCAACTTTCGATATGCAATTTTACCTTCCCATTAGCACTATCTCCTTTCTTCCTGTCTGTATTGTCCGATGAACCTTTCCCATCCCCTAAAACAATAAATAAGAAAACCCCACTTCGTAAGAAACATTGAAAACTAAGAAAAACAATTACTTTCCACCAAAATTTCATGTACTACATCAATTCACAGCCAAGCACATACAAGACAGTGTATGTACCTGAAAAGGCCATAATTTGACGGAGCTTAGAGGGAATGGCATCAATAGAAGAGGTGTTGGGTGGGGGAGGAAGTCTAGTAGTGCCTCCATGAGCTGCTCTGTAATTCTTCTCCCTTCTCTTCTTCCCTTTACCTCCCATTTTTGCTTCTTCTTCTTCTTCTTCTTCTCTGTGTCGACTCTGTAATTCGTTAAACCCTAGCACTCTCCTTACAACGTTGAAGCAGGAAGCATTAAATACAAATAGGTCCTCTTATTCTTAAAAAAAGGTTAAATTGGACATTTTTATAATTACAATTAAACCCTAGACAGTATAGACGGAGAGTTTTTCTCATCCTTATGAGTCGTTTGGTGTGAGGTATAAAATATAATAATGAGTCAAACTAACTAGGGGTTAATTAAATTTTATTTGAACATATTTCTAACATACACATTATTCCTAAATTTAAAGTGAAGTGTCAACACTAGATGAACACAAATTGTTCTTGTAAGAAAATCAATTTTGTCATCAATAGGATCAACTAGTGTTGTTACTTATGCTTAACAAACATATTATTCCTAAATTAAAACTTAGTATCAACACTAGATGGACACAAATCGATCTTGCAAGAAAATCAATTTTGTCATCAATAGGATCAACTAGTGTTGGTACTCATGCTTAACAAATATATTATTTCTAAATTTAAAGCTAAGTGTCAACACTAGATGGACACAAATCGATCTTGCAAGAAAATCAATTTTGTCATCAATAGGATCAACTAGTGTTGTTACTTATGCTTAACAAACATATTATTCCTAAATTAAAACTTAGTATCCACACTAGATGGACACAAATCGATCTTGCAAGAAAATCAATTTTGTCATCAATAGGATCAACTAGTGTTGGTACTTATACTTAACAAATATATTATTTCTAAATTTAAAGCTAAATGTCAACACTAGATAGACACAAATGATCTTGCAAGAAAATCAATTGTGTCATCAATAGGATCAACTAGTGTTGGTACTTATGCTAAACAAACACATTTATCACCTAATTTAAAGCTAAGTGTCAACCCTCGATGGACACAAATAAATTATCACAAAATTAAAGCTAAGTATCAATACTAGATGGACACAAACACATTATAGAAAACAATTGTACTTGAACTTTAGAACTTTAGAAACACCAAACCCTATCTCCTACTTTGATGAAAGAAGCAATATAGTTTTGTATCAACTTTTTTAGATGTTGAGCTTCCTCAGTTGCCTAGCACGAAAAGAAACAATTAAAATTTCTTCAGTGGTCATTATAGAGAAATTTCAGTTATTATTAACAGTTGACAATTAGTAAACAAGGTTGTGTTGTTTTTTCTTTTTCTTGATAATTCAAAATAGGTTTCTCCTATTTTCAATTGATCAATGTTTTTTGGATTTATTTTCATCGTTTTGCTGTTACAGATTTCTTATTTGTGCAAATTTAAAGAAAGCTGACCTCCATTTCTTGACAGAAATCCAACCAAAAGCTACAAGAACAACACAAAAGAAAGCTGGACCACCAATTCCAAAACCCAACCCAAGACTCTTATTATGATGTTTATGGCCAGAATCTTGAATAATCGAAGGCTTTACAATCACAGTATTATCAGAAACATTATGAGGATGCCTCACAGGGCCAAATTCATAAGTTCGAAAACTCCAATTCTCAATATTATGCAATTCAGTACTCCCCTCAGTAGAAGCAGCAAACCCCACATACATTAACTCTTTTAGATAATTAGACAAGTTAATATCAACAATCAAGATTGGTTTTAGGCTTGAAACAAGTCAATGCATTAGTTGGATTTGTTTTTTTTTTTTTTTTTTTTGTGTGTGTTAGTGATATTCTTAAATTGTTGATGAGCAAATGGAAAATTTAAAACTTACCAAGATTGTTGTTGCTGCTGTCGCCCTCTGCTTCTGCGACCTGCTGCTGTTGCTGAGACGGGCGCCGGTTAGGGATCGTGGCACTAGTCGATGATGGGTGGGGGTGGGCACCGGTCAGGGATGGGTCGGGATGGTGTCATTCTTTTTTAAAAGATGTGTTAATTTATCGACCACGGGATGTCGGTATCTTTTAAAATAATTATTTATATTTAAAAATATTTAATAAATACCCACATTGTGAAGTTGATATTATTTCAATAAAATAATAATTTAAATATACTAACCGGGATGTCGGTATCTTTTAAAATAATTATCTATGTTTTAAAATATTTAATAAAAATCGATATCGTGAAGTCGTTATTATTTAAATAAAATGATAATTTAAATATACTGACCTCTTAAGATCGATTTTATTAATTAAAATTACATATATCAATTGAGAATTCAAAAATGTGTGAAATGCAGTTGATAAATGTCAAATTTAATATATAAATCTCCTTGAATTGATCATCGGTATTTCTTTAATTGATAATGTATTTCATATATGAACCATTAATATATAAGACTTGATTTGTTAAATACTCGACGAGTATATAATCAACGTATTTCATACTCCGATGAATTATCCTTTACATGTCATTATATTGCCTATGATATGATCACTAGACTTGAAATCCATTCAAGATCGAATGTAAGAATCTTGATAGAACTTGCTTTGTACAGTACTTTACGATGTTCGATTGTCTATTTCATAAAATGAGATAAGACATTGAAAGTTATACGTATAAATAATTAAATAATTAATTATAAATATAAAATTTAATTAATTATTATCATGACATTTCTACGAGTATCATCTCGCATTTCATACTCGGATGGATTACATGTTAGCTTTTCACCTCTACATCATTACATGAGGTATTAAGTTCATGATTTGACGACGGACTAATAGAATTTGTACATTACTCTAGAAATATAAGTATAATTATCTCCTAATTCAAAACAACGTTGTTTCATACTCTAAATAAGGATTATTGTGTTTTTTTGTTTATTCCACGAATTCTAACTTTTTATTTATAAAAGTATACAAAATTGTTACACTTTTTGAAACAATTAATTATAGGTGTAAAATAAAAATTTAGTATTATGCACAATAGCAAAATTATGATTAATAGGAATATTTTAGACAAACTGACCTCCGGGTGTCGTTTATATTAAAAGTGATTAGATTAAATAAATAAAAATTAATCATGTTAATTAAATAATACTGACATCGCAAAGTC